CAGGCTCTACACAGAGCAGGCTTTACACAGAGCAGGCCCTACAGAGAGCAGGCTCTACAGAGCAGGCTCTAGACAGAGCACGTTCTACACAGAGCAGGCTCTACAGAACATGCTCTACAAAGAGCAGGCAGTTCCTGTGCCTGAAATATCACCTGTTGAGGGCTCTGCCTACTCCAGTCTGTAGCTTACAGGAAAGGATGGAACTTGCTGGTGCCAGGGTAGAAAGGGCTGTGATGATTGTGACAGGAAGAGCTCATGAGGAGGAGAAAGTCTGTTCTTTATCTCTGTTGTTTTCCTCTTTCCACCCCGGCAAGTATGATGGTCATCGCACCATTTTACTATGACTTCACACTGGCGACCACTGGACAGAATGAAAGAAAAACTTTTAATATGTGGCATTTATGTAAGCAAGTTAAAAAACTAAAGCTAAGAAAATATTGTGGAAACTATTCATAGAATATTATGGGAAAGGTTCATATCTTCTATATACAAGAGCTGTCATGTTCATTAAGAAAGGCTGTTTCAGCAGAGAAAGGCTATACAATTTCCTACTTAAAGGAAAAACACAATTGGTCAATAAAATAAAACACCATTTAATGAGGCTTTTGGGAAAACAGGTGCACATACTCATGATAAGGACAGAATGGACTATAGCATAATCTCTGTTTTTTGTTGGCGTGGGGTGGGTTACCAGTGTGCATCAAAAAATAAAGATTTCTTTGAAAAGTATTTTTCCAAGGCAGTAAATGAAATAGGAGGAAAAAGCTTCTATATGGAGGTGGATTAAGTTGATAACAACTTGTCTCTTAATCTCCTAAACAGATAGAAATAGAAAGTAATTCTGAGTTTAAATAAAAGTTTTAATAACGATGCCAAGCTTGCAGGTAAAGAACACATGTACAATGAGACCGGTTCACGACTTTCCCCAGTAACACCAAACATAAGAAATCACTTGTAAGCACACAAAGGAAACTTGATAATGAATCATAGTGGATAGTAGCCATGCCCATTGCTGTAAAACCTGGAGACTAATGAACAACAGTCAGAACCAGCATATTTGGAGCTTGACCAACTGACTATTCAGGAGCTGCCTGGGGGGATTACCAGGGTAATCATTTCTTTGATGATTGGTGAGTAGAATTAGTACTAGGTACTGGCTCTGGGTAGTATAGTATGGGTTCTGACACTCGGAGTTGAAAGTTTCCTTGTTTTGGTGTGGCTTTGTGTTATATTAACAGAACTCATCTATAACAACTGCATTTTGATGTTCTTACAAAGTCAAATCTGTATGAAGTATAAGCATTCTTAGTCAAGTATTTGCTTAAAGGGAGAAATGATTTGTCTTTATTTAGTATGTTGGATTATGAAGTTAATTTCTCATTTTGCTTAAATCTCAAGAGTGACCCATATGTCAGATGACAGATAATGTTTGTAATTGTATTTTATAGGGGCACCTCCATTCTTACCGGAATCTTTTGACCGAATTCTCCTTGATGCACCCTGCAGTGGAATGGGACAGAGGCCAAATATGGCTTGTACTTGGACTTTGAAGGAAGTGACATCCTATCAGCCACTGCAGCGAAAACTCCTTAATGTGGTATGTGGTGCTCCTTTGCTGTGAAGAAACTGACTGCTAGTTCAGTGTTCAGTTTACCAACGCTGTTAGCAGCACTGTTCACTATGACCAAAGGGTGGAGCCAGTCAGGAGTCATAGACAAAAACTGGATACATAAGCTTTGGTATGGTCACATGGACTATTTATTCAGCCTTAAAAAGGAGTGAAATTTGGTACATGTTACAGTATGAATGGCCTTTGGAGACTTTATGCTAAGTGAAGTAAACCAGACACAAAAGGAAACATTTTTACATGATCTCTATTACAAAGTAATTAGAATAGGCAAATTCCTAGAAATAGAAAGTAGAAGAAAAGGAGTTAGGTTGAGAGAAAGAGTAGTTACTGATTAATGGTTACAAAGTTACAGCTTGGGATGCTTGCAGAAATCAACACTTAATGTCATCAAATCATTTAGTTAACATGATATCGTTTATGATAACTATTTTTTGCTGCAGACAAGGAAGAGATTGGGAATACTTAATGTCTTGTGGTGTGTCCTAAGCTGGACTCAAGCTCTCAGTATTTTTCCCTCAGCTTCACAAGGGCTGGGATGCTTTGTGTGCATCATCAAACTTACTTACGGCTTTAAACATAGGAGGCTTTTTATGTTGACCCGTCCTTTAAAATACACAGCCCCCTTTAGACATGGAGTTAATCATAAACTTTCTACCCCTTAAGTGAAAGTAAAACAACAAAACCAAAACCACAATTCAGTAAGTAATTCATGCATCATTGCTAATTAATGTAAATAATTTATTATAAATAAATTACTCTTTACTGGCTTAATTTAGTTATCGGATTAGAAAGTCATAAGTCTTTTTTTTAATTATTTATTTATTTTAGGTATATAAGTACACTGTAGCTGTCTTCAAACACACCCAAAGAGGGCATCAGATCCTATTACAGATGGTTGTGAGCCACCCTGTGGTTGCTGAAAATTGAACTCAGGACCTCTGGAAGAGTAGTCAGTGCTCTTAACCGCTGAGCCATCTCTCCAGCCCTGAAAGTTATAAGTCTTATAGAGTAACATGTAGTTAAAGTAGGCACGATAACATCCAGAATGTAGAAGGATTATAAAAACTGAAAATTTAATAGATCTAGTACATTACAAATAGAATATTTGAGAATTCTTGTTGTTTTGTTAAACTTTCTAGATTTCAAAGCAAGAAGTACTTCTATTTTATTTTAATTTCAATTTTTCTATTTTTAAAAATTTATGAAAAAAAATTATGTCCAAGAGTCCAAGTTGGCTGGGTAGGGTAGGAGGGGTTGGGGGATGTGGATCAAGGAAGAATTAAGAGAAGAGGCTAAATATGATCAAAATACATTGTATAAAATCCACAGGAAATCTCTTTGAGTTTGAACAGTGTAAACAGTGTAAATGCAGCACAGTTGGTAGAGAGCTGGCCTGGTGTGCTAGTTCCTTGCTGCTGCTGTGACAAAATGCCTGATGTAACAACTGGTTCAGAGATACAGTCCATCCTGGTGAGGAGCTCCAGGCAGCTCAAGAAAGCCACTGAGAGCTCCACAAGCTGCTGCTCACCAGTTCTTGTCAGTTCAGAACCTCAGCCCATGGATGGCTATTCCCACAGAGCAGGGATCACCATTAACCCATTCTCCACACTGTGTCACAGGCATGCCCAGGGGCCTGTCTCCTCAGTGAGTCTGTATCCTGTGCGGTTAATCCTGACAGTTAACCATTACTCCTATCGTGCATGAAGCCCCTGGGTTAAATTCCCAGCAAAACATAATCTCCCTGAGATCGCACACACCTATGGTCCTTGCACTCTGGAAATAGGCAGATGATCCTAAGCTTAGAGTTATCTTTTGGTAGATGGAGAATTTGAGGCCAGCCTGGGATATATGAAAACCTGTTAAAAAAGAAGAAAGAGAAGATAAACTTAAGATGTTTGCAAGAAATTTATGTTAGCATAGCAGCACATACCCTGATTATCATTAAATTCTACTGCATGCAAAATACTGTTTAGATCATAACCAAGAAAGCAGACAATCCATGCCCTTCTCTATGAGCTTTTCCTCTGTCTGGCACTGTTGTGTTACATAGCATTAGTGCTGCAGAGCAAACTGTAGAAAGGAAGGAGAGCCACGGGGTCCGAGAGGACCAGGAAGAACATTTTAGAAAGGGACCTGTAAGCAACAATGGGTAGAACATCATGAAGGAACAAGCAGCATTCAGAAGTAGCTTCTAATCTGGTGCTAGGACCCTCATGAAGTAGTGACTTTGGGTGTTACAGGATTAGCAGGACACGGTTGCTAATGCGGAAGGGTAGGAGGGGCAGAAGGGGAGGTCTGTATGGCAGGAACACCGCTATGGAGAGCTTTGAAAGCTCTTTCAGGACTTTGCTTATGGAGCTGAGAAGCAACAAGTAGAAAAGCATGGCTCAGACTGGTGTGTGGAGACCGGCTTCTCTGAGGGCAGGGAAACGTGGGAAGATTTAACTGTTGTGTAATCTAGTTGACAGGTGAAACGGCCGGGACTGGGATGATGGCAGTGGATCTTAGGAATCATAGCCAAAGCTGGTCTCGGTCTTTCTGTCTCTGTGTCTCTCTCTCTCTCTCTCTCTCTCTCTCCCTCTCCCTCTCCCTCTCCCTCTCCGTCTGTCTGTCTCTCTGTCTGTCTATAATGTGTATTTATAGACATATTTACTTATTCTATGTGTATACATGTGTGCCTGAGTGTATGTATGTGTGTCATGTATGTGCAGGTACCAGCAAATGTCAGAAGAAAGTTTCAGATCACCTGGAGCTGGAGTTATAAGCAGTTGTGAGCCGTCGTATGGATGCTGGGACTTGAGCATGGGTCTTCTGCAAGAGCAGTAAGCACTCTTACCCACTGAGCCATCCCTGCATTAGATACTTAAAGGAGCTGACTAGTGAAGGGGGAAGGTGAAAGGCCTTCAGGCATTAATGGTGCTCTGAGGTTCAGACCTGGAGCTTTGGGAAGCCTAGGAAGGCTGTCCAAGCAGGTATCAGAGGATGGTGAACACATTATTTGGAGACCCATTTGCTGAAATCCCAGAAATTCTGATAAGACAACTTAGTACCTACAGATTCAGAAAGGAGGTCTCCCCTACAGACGGGAATTTGTAACTTTGACCATAAGGGTAACTTGGGAGGGGAGGTAAGTGAAGGTTCTCTGTGTGAGTCTGACTCTGTGTGTGTCATGAATCTCCAGGGAAGGCTGCATGCAGTCTTCAGTGGGCATATTGTAGTCTAACTACAGGAAGAGGCCATATCATACAGGACAACACTTTATTTCCACCAAATGCTTGCAAGGCATCTGGTGCAACTGGATAACTTACTTTTGAGGGTTTATTGGGTCTTGGCATGCATCGTCTGATCACTGCTTTCCTTAGGCAGTTCAACTCCTGAAGCCAGGGGGAGTGCTGGTCTATAGCACATGCACAATAACTCTGGCAGAAAATGAAGAGCAAGTCGCCTGGGCCCTCAGAACATTCCCCTGCCTTCAGCTTCGACCCCAGGTGAGAACACTGACACTTTCCATAAGATATATCTGAGTGTGAAGTACACTGGCAGACATGGGACTTTATAGAGGGTGGTGTCAGAGCTCTGAAGCACTCGATTCAAGAGTGTTGTGTGTTTAGACTAACCATGGGATTCACATGACCAGGTGAGGAAGCTTCCCCTCTCTCTGCAGTCTGCTTGCTATTGGACTGAACTGGGTCAGGGCTTGGGTATCTTTCTGCTCCTGTTTATCCCACTTGCTGTCCCTTGCTGTATTTCCAAAAAGTCCTTTTCTTTTTAGTTAGACACATTCTGTTCACATGTATGTATGTATACCATGTGCATTTCTGCTGCATGGAAGTCAGATAATCCTGAGTCTGGAGTTAGATACGTTGTAAGATACCACATGTGAATGCTGAGAGCCAAACCGGGTCCTCGGCAAGACTTCCTTCCTTCCCTGTCCTCCATGTTTCTGATTTGGAAAAGCCTGAGCATTTTCCCCTCCGGCCGCAGCAGACACACCTCTGGGATAGTGCACTGCAGAATATCAGAAGACTAGCTGTGGGAACAAGCTACAGCTGGGGAGTGTCCCCTTTTATGCTTTTATGTTAATAGGGTATTTTTAAAGCCATTTGTAGTTTGTTTTAGTGAGCAGAAACCTGACTTTTTGTTAGGATTTTTATTAAGGCCAATTCAATTTTGAGATATGTATGTCTGCGGAGATGCTAATATCTGGAGACATTAGGCATCTGACATTGTGGCTTCCTGCAGAACTCTAACGGTCAGTCACAACATAAAGGTTAAAACAATCTAGAAATGGTCCCTGTGCTGGGAGGTTAAGATAATTACATGGAAATGAAAGCAAGACCTCAGAGTTCGTTCTCATGAAGTCTGTGTGAAGAAGTAACGGAAGTTACTCCCTTCACTGCCATGGATGATTACGTTTTCTTGACAGTTGTTTCTTCTCCACCAGTGGTCAAACCCTTATCTGTGGACTTGGCACTAATGGTTCTCAAAAATGACTGAATTCGTTTAGATTCCTTAAAACCTTGTTGATATGGCCATGATTTATATATCCTTTTCTAATATGTATTCTTCTAGTGTGTGTTAAGAAAACTCATAGAGTTGGTATGGCTAAAGGCATCTCAGATGTTTCTGGGGCTAGCTCCTTCCACTGTTAGAGAATGAGAAGATGGACTATTTATTTATCCATGTCACATGAAGCCCAGTAGTACTGTCTTTGTCTTTATTTAGCTTCAGAACTGGGTATTTTACCGTATATGTATATGTATATGTATATGTATATGTATATGTATATGTATATGTATATATATATATATATATATATATATATATATGAGTAAATGGAGTAGGTAAAGCTGCTTGCTCAGGTCATATAGTTGAGATATGTTAGAGCTGCATTTTAAGTCTGTAAGCATCTAATAATATCCAGGCCTTTTGTAGTGTCATAACACTTGATAAGCATGGAGAATCCTAAATAAATAGGAACTCCTTTATCAGGTGGCCATGTGTCACCACTTTTCCACCGACCTCAAATTGGAAGGTGCATCTCACAAAGGCAAGTGTACTTATGTTTCTGGGAGAGGTCATACTCACAACCCATCTATCTTTTCTTACTTAAGGTATATAGAGGCAGCTTACTAACTGTAGCATAGTCGACCAGTTTTGCTCATTTCTTCCCAACAGGAACCACAGATCGGAGGAGAAGGGATGGTGGGAGCTGGCCTGTCACTGGAGCAATTGAAACAGCTGCAGCGATTTGATCCCTCTGTTGTGCCGCTGCAGAACATGGACACTGGTTCTCTCGGAGATGCCAGAAGGGAAGACATGATTTGGCTGGCCAACAAGGACTGTATAGGCTTCTTTATTGCAAAGTTTCTAAAATGTCAAAGCACAGAAGAGAAGGTTTCTTGGAGATGAAAATTCTGAAGACTTCTGTGTGTGGTGTTTTTTCTTACACCAAAGTGTTGTCAATCCAACAAAGTGATGGCATGGTTACTCAGGAAACAGGATGATGCTTACAGCTTCCCCGAGATCGGAAGGATCAGTGTGTATATGTGGCCCTGGGGAAGTGGGGGCTAGGAAAGCATCATCAGCTTTATGAAAGGAAATGAGGAATTGCCTGTCTGGAATATACCTTCAGTTTTAACTAATAAATATTGTCTTTCTATGCAATAGTTTAAAAACAAGAGGATAGGGCTGGAGAGATGGCTTAGCAGTTTAGAGCACTGACTGCTCTTCCAGAGGTCCTGAGTTCAATTCCCCACCAACCACATGGTGGCTCACAACTATCTGTAATGGGATCTGATGCCCTCTTCTGGTGCTGAAGACAGCTACAGTGTACTCATATAAATAAAAACAAATCTTGACGAACAACAAAAACAAAAAACAAACAAACAAAAAAACCAAGAGAATAAACCTCTAAACCTTTCAAGTGGTTGTGAAAAACTTTTCTGTTTCCAAGATGGTGGTAGTTTCTTCAGTAAGTTTTCAGGACATGGACAGTAACACTGACCCCATCCTGACTGAGGTAAGTAGGCTTGTTACTGGCATCTGCCTCTGTCTCTCTGCTTACTGAGTCTAACTCTGGCTTCTTAATTTAAAGGATAATTTATGTACTGAGTATGTGTGTGGAACACATGTCGAAGTCAGAGGACCACCTTTGAGAACAATTTCTCTCCTCTACCTTGAGTTCTGAGGCTCGAACTCAGATCCTCAGGCTTGTATCACAAGTACTTTTTTACCTGCTGAACCATTTCACCAGCCTTCAGTCACCCTTAAATAAAGCTTGGACTTGTGTTAAATACTACTTTGAAAGGTGAAGTATAGGTATTTACTTTGTAGCTAAAATGGCCATTGAGATTACTCCACATTTTGGCTGTATTTTATCATCTTTGGGAACAGACATCATGCAGAATAATAGAGAACTGCTTGATGAGGAAGAGGAGGAGGAAAGCAGTGACTGAGAGCTAGGCCCTGGCCTGGTACTCTCCACTTGACGCCTCCATTTTTCTTGCTGAACCTAAGCAGCTTCACAGAGCACAGGCTCCAGGCAACTATGTCTGATAGATGACGACAGAATAAGAGCTCCTCTTAATCAAAACTGAACTCAGCTTGGACAAAATAAGCAGCTCAGCCAGACTGCAGAAGTGACCAAGCATCCTGCCACTCCTGCCACTCTGCCTTCAGTGGTCCTTCTATGTAGATAAACTGTTAAGATTTCCAGTACCCAGCAACATGGGAAAGGCCTCCTGTGTGGAACACACCAGATTGGCTTGTTTTCTTCCATTCACACCCTTCCAAATGACGACACGTTGGGTGTGTCCCATGCACAACTGGAACCAATTGTTAATCTCTTTTTCCCTTGTAGGTTTCCTGTAGGAAGGTCTCTAAATGACTTACGGTATCCACTGTTGATTGCAGCAGCTCTTGGATCAAGTAAAGCCTTTGGATGGCTTCTTCCTGGAGAAAATCTTTTTTGAAGAGCCCTGAGCTCTCTACATCCAAGTGACTGTACCCATTTCTCTCAGCACATTGTGACTTTAGTTTACTGTGTTATCCTGAGTTCAGTCCTACACCTGGGAAATATACCAGGACAGATAAACAAGGTTTTTTTCTCTCTCTTATCACTGCTTCATAGTAGATAGTGGCTGTTATGGAATATGAAAAATTATCTTGAATTTTCTAAGATTCGAGCAAGCCTTTTCTATCTTTCATTCTGCTTGTGTCCAGGAGATGCTATTTTGACTAAAGAGAAACACCATCACCATGAGACACTTCTGTTTCTTGGACTCCAGGTAGCCCCTCAGATATTAAAATGTATTTTAAGGAACTCCATAACCATGGCTTCCTTTCTTTTCTTTCTGTACATCTGTATGTGCTAAGCTGGGTGAGAATAGGAGAGAAACAGCCGAGCAGCAAACCTGCACGGTGTCAGACTTTTTACCCATTCTGGTAAATACCAGAGTGCACACAGAGCTAGCAAAAGAGAACGCTGCATGTATTCAGAACAGCAAGGACACAGAATACTGTTAGCATTATTCCTGTTAATACAAGCCATTTTCAGTGGCTTTCTTCCTTTCAAATTTGAAAGCAAACCACATATTCTTCAAGGACACAAAAATGAAAAGAAACCAGAGACATGTGGAAGGCTATTAACATCTTTTTAGCATACTTAGTTTTAATATAGATTATTTCTATGAAAAGAGAAATAAAGCATTTATTTGGTGGTAAATTTTAATTAAAACCCTATGTTAAATTTTAGTTTATATAGCAAAGTGAAGCAAAACACTTAATAAGACCCAGTGTCAGCAATATTACACTTACTGGAATAAGCCTAGAGCATCGAGGAGGAATGGTGTTGTGTCCCCAGCAGATGGAGAAGCTATTGGTCTTCTTAAAAATGAAATAAACTTCTAAATATGAATCTGAATTACTCTACAGGTTGAGCTGAGGTGGGAAGAAAACTCTCATCTACATTTAAAAAATCTTACCTACCTTGGTATTTTTATTATTGTTTTACTTAAATTAGACATTGAAGGAAGATCACCAAAAAATACCAGGTTATTGGCATTGGCTCGATGAAGATGTTCCACATGAATCTAGTATACTCGTTCCTAAGATGGCAATTGATACCAGTGTTAAACAGTGCAGAAGCCAGCTCTTTATTTGTTTCCATGAATTACTTTAAACCAAGTTCATCAAACAGTTCAGTGTTGTGACAGTGTTTAACAAGGATGCAGAGCAGACATGTTAAAATGTGGTATTGTCTGCAGTACAGTATGACTGAAGATGGCCTACTTTTAGCAGCACCTTTTTTGTAACAGTAAGTAAATGAGCAGTTGAGAAAGCACAGGAAAAACTGAAGTGATTGATACAGAAGTATAACACTATTAGCTACATTCCCAGCTTTTCCTGGCTTGACTACAGAAAAAAGAAAATCAGGATTCTACAACTGAGTCGGGTAAGATTAAATTTTTTCTTGTGAAAAGAGCAGTGTTGCATCCCAGTAGTCAGTAAATCAGCCATCTTCTTTGAGAGGTCAAGCACACACTGCTGATTGAGCCCCAGTGTGCGGCTTTTACACACAGGTGTCCTGTGTCAGATCCTTCGGCGGAGCAGAAGGATGCTGTCATGGGCAAACATGCTCATGTAAGTCTGAAAGGGATGCGTGGTAACTGCAAGTATAAGAAACAGCATCCATCATGGGGCTGACTGTCTCAGCCATTCCTCCGGATGAAACACACAGGAAGGGAGTAGATCACTGCTCAGAGTCTATGATGAATGCTTTCTAAATTTGGGTCAAAAATTACTGTGTATAGTGTGTAAATTCTGTAAGAGATATAGTGCTGATTCTAAGGAAACCTTTCACTCTCTAAGCAGGTAAACCACTGGTAAAATATATATGCAACTCATGTTTAAATGCTTGAGTTTTCATGGGTATAGGATAAAGTAGTAAATGTAAAACTGCTTTGCATATAAATGCCTAGGAATATTTCAGAAGAATATGAAATAACCAGGAAACAAAACAAAAATGTATTTATTGTAACCATGATTTGTTTTAGTAATATACCGATCTGGTTGGGTAATCACAGATAGACATTTCCTGCAAAAGGCTTCAAATGCTAGGGGCTCATGCAGCTAATACAGTCTTACCTATCTATCCATCAGCACTGGACTCTTGAGAGATAGAGATTGTATAGCCTTGGCTAAGAGCATTGTAAGCTTCTTAACGCAGGCAAATTGAGGCTTGAGAAAGTGTCTTCTAGGTTCTCCTTCAGAGATGTCTCGTATAAGAAAACTTTTCAACTCTTTTGCTTCAAGTTATTCCATTTTGCCCTGATAACTTCTAAAGATTTAGCAGAAACTTTGGTTATAAGAAGCACTTGTAGATTCTGACAGTGTAGCTGCTCAGGTTGCTGCTGGGGAAAGAAGAGCGGCTGGCTGAGGATAAACAACAGGAGCAATAGGCACGTTTAGAAAGTAAAGTGGGACAAGTTATAAAAATTTATTTCCCTACGAAATAATTGCACAAGCTGTGTAAACATTTCTTACTAAAACAAAATAATCTGACACACAAAGATTGTCCATTTCCAGTGGAACACTCACAGTACAAGATGCCTGTGTTTTCTCTCTTCAGGGGCAAAAGCAAGAAGTCAGCAGCTGAGTGCTTCCCTAGTTCCTTTGGCAGCAAGCTTCCTCACATTCCCTGGCTGCTCAGTGGGTTTGAAAGCAACATACAACACAGTTAAGTACAAAGCCAGGTGGGCAGGACTCTCAGCCATCAGCCTCTGGTTTCTGCATTAGTCTTCTGCGTTCCACTTCATCTCAGCCGTTCACACACTCACACACTCACACATGCGTGTGCACATGGTGGGCTCCGCTTGGATACTCCAGTGCAGTGACTATAACAGACACTAGCTGCTAAGAATGTGTTTGTCACAATCAGTGTGGACTGTATGGAGTAGAAAAACCTCTGGAGTTTGGTTACATTTACCATAATTTATGGTTAAAATGAAAAACTTACAAGGATGGGATTACATTCAGAAATCAAACCTCAAGTCAAGCAATCACACGTATTTACAGTATGTACAGGCTCTCTCTTAGAATAGGGAGAGCTGTCTAGACAATATTAGAAATTTCCTGAATGTGGGCATTTCTAGTCCCTGTGATTCATAAAGCAAATCTGCTGACTTGGCATTAAGACCCTAAAATTGTGTGATCAAACTGATATATATATATATATATAATTATAATAAGGTGTTTGCAGAAATAACATTTACAAACTGTCTACACAGTACACAGTACTAGTACATAGAAAATAGATTCTAACTTTATAATCCCCTTTGTGTAAGGCAAGACTGAATCTGTCCCCAAATTTAGTCAGCCAGAGGTACAAGCAAGAAACAGTGGTCCATGAAAGAATGACAGGTCAGGTATCTGGGCATTAAAAATATGGAGAAATCCACTTGTTATCTGTGCTGCATCTGGCTCATTGGATACATTAACTGCATTTCTGAAGCCACTCTATTCAGGTGGCAGTTACCCAAACAGCTTTTGAAGAGTTCAGGATATAGATGGAGGGCTGCCGCTGTACTAGGCCAATTTCTGTGGTACTTACAAAAGAATGTATAGTAATACTTGATTGCATGCTATTGCTATAGAAGCAACAGCAATACAAAATATACAAGACAGATCACAGATGATTGCAATGTAGCCCCCAAAGATTTTTGCTTAAGGATGATGTGACACAAGACTTGGGGGCCTGGACACGCACGGTCATTGGCGGATGTATACATCCCTGTTCCACTCGCCAGCTTCATTCCTTCTCTTAGATAGTACTTCCCCTTCCTTGTCACAGTAGCGATCCTTAGATTTATGCCGGCTTCGTTGTTTGCTGCACTCATTGTGGTCCTGGTCTCGACCCGTGTCCCTAGAGCGGTGGCGAGACTCCCTGTGCCTGTGGCCATTGCTGCTGTGGGTCTCCTCTCTGTGGTTATGTTCACGGTGTGGGACATAGCGGTCCACATGTTCATGTGAATAATCTTCCTTTGGCTCCACGTAGGCGGAGTCTCGGCTCTCTTGGGTTTCAGAGTCAAACGTCTCTTGCCTAGAGAGGCCTCGACCTGTCCCACTGCGGTGGTTTTGGTGTGTGGCTGAGGAAGAACGGTGTTGGGATTTTTTGATGGGTTCCAGACAAGGTTCTTCTTCAGCTTGGGAAGCGGACCGGGGAGCAGAGCGATCAGTCCTCTGGTCACCTTGAGAACCCTGTAGAAGAGGGACACACATGAGGGCATCAACTGAGGAACTAATGTGTCTTGGGAGCAGCATCATGTAAGTGCATTCATTTGAAGTATCAAAATGCTGAAATGAAGCCCAGCTTAGGCGCTTCACCCCTTTACCTGGTGACACAACTTAAATTGGACTTGTGTTCCTGTGACATTTCATTTCAACAAAGGGGCAAGAATGGTCTTTTATAGTCTTTTGTGATTCTAGTACTGATACAGGTGTCTTATAACCATAGTCTTACCTAATTTGCCTGAGTAGACTAAAACTCATTACGATGGAGCATTTACATGGGACATGTACTATTCTAGAGCCTTTGCAGAGAGGCTGAGGTGCTGTAGTGTGTTCAGTTCACAGCTCTTTGCTTACAGGTACACAACTCATACTGGACTGATTAAACTTGGTCAGATGGCACCTGGGCTTCTTTTAGTTTGGTGAGCAAAGAATAGTAGACCAAGCACAATGTTCCTTCTCGAGACTGAGTCTCAAGGGCATCAGCTGAGGCAGCCCAGATTCTTTAGGAAGATCGTAAAAGGAAGCGCTCTTACCTGTGAATTAGAGGCTAGGGTGGGGCTCAGAGGTAAAGTTGAGGTGGCTAGAGTCCGGCTAAGGAGAGGGTTGGGGAGGTTACTGCTGGGAGGGTGGGTGGCCTTCCAGTATGCCTCCAGATAGTCAGCAAGATGCTCACAAGCGTCCTCAAGCTGGTTCTCATCCAAGATCACATCAAATGACTCCTGCTAAAGTAAGCAGTCCAAATAGTATATTAGTGCAACCTAGGACCAAGTCTGTCTTCTCCCCAAACCCACAAGCAGAGGAGAGGCCTTCCCTATTGTATTTGTTCTTGCCCTGGTATTTCTTTTTCTGTTATCTGACTCTCTTAGCATGTGTGCATGCATGTGTGTGTGCATGTGTGCGTGTGTCCATATGTATCCTCAAGTCCTTAATTAAAACACTGAGTGGTTAACTGCTCAAAAATGGACAGCTGTCAGCATGATTGGTAAGGGCAATGCAGAAAAGTTAATTATCAGCTATGAAAAACTGATACTGTGGTAGAAAAACATGAAAAATCTAAACAGTTTAGAAGTATGCTTGTTCTTGAGACAGACTGTAGAGTTCTGGAAGCTAACGAGGCAAGATTAGGTCATGCAGTTTGGCAGAAATAGCCCAAACTACTGACATTTTGACATGATCCAAACTTAAAACTTCACTGTGGGGGAGAGGTCAGTGAGGGACCAGGTCCTTTAATTTTGAAGATTTAAATTAAAATTGTTGATCAAGAAATATAACATTACTTTAAATCAGTCAAACTCATAATTGTATCTTTTATAGCTTCCAAAATAGTCATATTTGAATGAATACTAGATTGGATCTGTAGTCCCAAAGTATGATATGTAAAAGTATGGATGTGATTCTGTGACAAGTGCTTGCTGTGCAGCTGTTGGGCCCTGGTTTGAATCTAGACCTCATGCCAAAGCTAGACACATAGCGTCGAGTTTTGATAATCCCAGCACTCCTACAAGAACACAGGTTGTAGACAAGAAAATCCTGAAATTAGCCAGCCAGCTAGCCTGTCGTATACTCTGGCCAACAAGACACCTTGTCTGAAGATCAAGGTGGGGACCAACACCCATGTTTGCCCTCTGACCTCAGTGTAGGCTGTAAAAAGCATGCTCACACCAGCATTGCTATCCATAAAATTCAGTGTTTAGTTTGACATGGTCCACATCAGTTTCTTAGACAACATGTTGCATGTGGCTAGAAGTGGATAAGGCCTAGACTTCGAAGAGGTCCATTTTACAAACCACAGTCCTATAATAGCAAGTGAGGTCTGTATGGGATGCTTGTAGTGTTTTTGGAAGGGTGACCATTACCTGGCCTACACATGATCAAAACAAATGGTCACACAGGCTCTGGTATACTTCTTTAGAGTGAATGCCATTGTAAGTGAGGAAGAGCCTCTTCCCACAGATACATACATTTTTTTTTCTTTTTCTAAAATGCAGGTCTAATCTCTTAAGCTGTTTGTACCATGTAGCTAACTTACCGGAGGACACTGGGCCAGTTTATCAGCTGCTACCATCTGGACATTGAGGTGTTTTGCTTGAGATTTTCCTCGAGATTTTATTAACCTTTGTAAAACCTGGAAAAAAGTACAGTTTTGTAACAGGAATATCTGTACTTGGGTAAGCTACAGAGTATATTATGGACTACTTTATACTTGTCCCTGGATGAACAGCATGTATCATTGAGAAATAAAATACAACATAGAGATAAACCACAAAATTAACATGCTTCCATAAATCTCTTGCAAGCTTTAAACACAAGTATAAAGCTGCTGCTGAGGTTTTTCTTGCCTAACACTTCTCAACATTCCTGCCTCATCACCTATAACACTTCTCAACATTCCTGCCTCATCACCTATTTAAGTATAAAAAAAAATTATGAACCCCAAAGGGACATTGTTTTTCAGGAAATATTTCTAATATTTATCAAATATCTTAGCACTGTTAATTCATTTTAAAGTAAAAATCACTTTTTAAGAAATCAGAAGTTAGATTCCAGAGACTCACATAACCCTATTAAAAATGGGGAACAGAGTTAAGGAATTTTCAACGGAGGAATAATGAATGATCAAGAAGCACCTAAAGAAATGTTCAACATCCTTAGGGATCAGGGAAATACAAATCAAAACAATCCTGAGATTCCACCTCACACCAGTCAGAATGGCTAAGATCAAAAATTAAGGTGACAGCAGATGCTGGCAAGAATGTGGAGAAAAAGGAATACTCCTCCATTGTTTGTGGGATTGAAAGCTGGGACAACCACTCTGGAAAGCAGTCTGGTGGTTCCTCAGAAAATTGGACATAGTATTACCTGAGGATCCAACTATACCACTCCTGGGCATACACCCAAAAGATGTTCCAACATATAACAAGGATATATGCTCCATTATGTTCATAGCTGCCTCATTTATAATAGCCAGAAGCTGGAAAGAACCCAGATGTCCTTCAACAGTGTAATGGATACAGACTATGTGGTACATTTACACAATGGAGTACTACTCAGCTATTAAAAACAATGACTTCATGAAATTCTTAGGCAAATGGATAGAACTAGAACATATCATCCTGAGTGAGGATGAGTGAGGTAACCCAGTCACAAAAGAACACACATAGTGTACACTCACTGATAAGTGGATATTAGCCCAGAAGCTTGGAATACCCAAGATACAGTTCACAGACTACATGAAGCTCAAGAAGAAGGAAGACCAAAGTGTGGATGTCTTGGTCCTTCTTAGACGGAGGACCAAAATACTCACAGTAGGAAATACAGAGGCAAAGTGTGGAGCAGAGACTGAAAGAAAGGCCATCCAAAGACTGCCCCATCTGGGGAATCATCCCATATATAGTCCTCACACCCAGATACTATTGTGGATGCCAAGAAGTACATGCTGACAGGAGCCTGATATAGCTGTCTGCTGAGAGGCTGTGCCAGAGCCTGACAAATACAGAGGCAGATGCTTGCAGCCAACCATTGGACTGAGCACGGAGTCTCCAATGGAAGAGTTAGAGAAAGAACTGAAGGAGCTGACGGGGATTGCAACCTCATAGGAAAAACAATAATATCAACCAACTAGACCCCACAGAACTCTCAAGGACTAAACCACCAACCAAGGAGTACACATGGAAGCACCCATGGCTCCAGCTGCATATGTAGCAGAGGATGGCCTTGTCAGGCCTCAATGGGAGGAGAGGCCCTTGGTCCTGTGAAGGCTGGATGCTCCAGTGTAGTGGAATTTGTGGATAGGGAGGCGGGAGAGGGTGGGTGGGTGCGGAAATACCCTCATAGAGCGGGGTGGGGGGAGATGGGATAGGGGATTTCTGGGGGGGGGGAGAAACCAGGAAAAGGGATAACATTTGAAAGGTAAATAAAATATCAAAAAAAAAGAAAAGAAATCTGAAGTATCACCTTCTGTATCCAGTATTCTATAATATATGGTTTTCTTGATATTTATAAAGAGACCATTACAGAGATACACATTTAAATAAAGGGGTTGTGCTATCTGCATCTCTTCAGAGAGCAGGAGACATTCTTTGAGATTAAACTGAAGTCCAGCATACTTATTGCTATACAGACCTGTGGCCATGAAGAGTCAGCAGCTACATGGAGCAGCTTAATGTAGCATAGTATTACTGTTCTGTACTGAAATTCTGATGCACCATTCCCTATGTGACTCAGAAGGTCACTCATGGCATTCTCTGTGAGGCGCACGTATCCATGCTTCATTGCTTAGCATTACTCTTGTTGGCAGCAAATGCTTCTGTTTGAAGTCTGACTGGTTTTGCTTAAGGAAAGATCTGCTACGTACTTAGGTCGGAATGAGCATCCTGTCAGAAGGCCTGAGAACAGGAGCTCCCAGCACACTGGTGTTGGTGTTTCTTTTTGAGACAGGTTCACTGTGGGCTGTTGCTGATCACTTTAGTTCATTCTTATGCGAAACCTGCTCTGGAGTTGTCTGTAACTGTGAGAACGCATGCATGTGTTTGCTTCTACACTCTGCACCAGGCTTGGACTCCCTGCAGCTTTGTCACTGTGTGTGCAGATGCCAAGAATGATGAAGAGAAACATCCTAATGGTACCGACTGCAGCTCCCACGTCACAAACTCTCTGACATCATTTCAGCAATCCATGACCCACACTTTAGGACCACTGCTCTGAGCCACACATTAACCATGTTCATTCTTCATATAAAACTTCTTGACTAGTGTGGAGCTTTTCAAAACCCATGTCCATGATGAAGGCATAAAACACAAGACAATAAAATCCGAATGTAGAAAAACAGTGCAACCCACTTACCTTAGGAGAGGAAATCTTTACGTACACTATGATAGGGGCCAAAGAGGTCTTACTGAGTTGAGCTGGGTGATTAATTGTATCTGCGTCAAGGACTACCAATTGCAGTGTTCTTGCAAGTTCAAAAATCCTTTCGATTTCACTCTGAACTTCCGCTGTAAAGGTTTTTAAACAGAGTTCGATTATTTAAAAGAACACATTTGAAACTACAGGAAGCTAGAATAAAGTGGCACACTAATTCTTTATCCAGAGTGATGGTAGGACAGCTACTATTTTAATGATCATTGTCAACATGACTGGGGAAAGGTGTCCTTTGGCCAGGGCTATTCCTCATGCCTTTAGTACTGCAGCAACTGTTCCTTCAGCCAGCACCAAATGTATCAGCTTTCCTTGCACATGAGCTTACCTGTGTTGGACCATCTGTTATGGAAAGATGTACAACATAAACAAAGAGCAATGAGGGTGCCTGTTAGAAGCTTGGCCTAAACTGCACTTGTCATGCTTTCCACCAATGAAGACATGGTAGTAAGTATAACCTGTTCAGTCCATATAATGCTAATTGTATGTGTTTTTAAAGTTGGCCATTTGGTACTGGATGACAAGTTGGTATGTTCTGCCCTGCGGAAGACCACCTCTCCAGTTCCCAGCTTTTCTCAGTTGCCTGTAGTTGCTTGTGTAGGGTTGAGGCCTCATGACTTCTCTCCATCCAATTTCTCCTGTTCATTGATGTCATCCTTGGCCAGCTCATAATTGGGCATTCCAGTTGGTGAGACTTTACAAGTGTAGCTTCTGATATTACTAGGAATATACATATATGCACATGTATACACACATATATGCAATAACAGTTTATAAAGAGAGAGGCCATGAATTTAATATGTATATTCCTAGTGCATATGTACATACATATATATGAATATATACACATATATATGCAATAACAGTTTATAAAGAGAGAGGCCATGAATTTAAACGAGAGTGGGAAGGGGCATGTGGAATAGTTTGGAGGGAGGAAAGCTAAGGGAGAAATATTGTAAGAAAATTAGAATCTCAAAAAAAAATTTAAGAGTGTCTTATAAAATTCATGTTTCAATGGGCATTTTCCCATTAGAAGTAGCACATAGAATTACAGGGAATAACATCAGTTCATCTGCTCTCCAAAGATTCTACAGCAGGACTCCCAGGTTGACCATCTGGGATAATGGAGATACTCTCTGCACTGCCTAGTTTGGTGGCTACTAGGCATGTGAGGATATTCAGCCCTTAAAATATAACTAGTCTGAATGAAAAGACTGAATTTTAAAATTGTAATAATTTAGTATTGAACTCTAAAGCACAACATGTATCTTGTAGTTATGGCCGGTGAGAGGGTCCAGTCCACGAGGCTCTTTCACCATCAGCCAACTGGGCCTAAAAATACTCCAGTTTCTTTGATTTGTCAATATGAATGGCAGGATGTTCTTGGAGATGGTGTTAACTCACATATTCTTCTGTAAAATGCAAGTCACTAACTGCATAAAATTCTTTACTTGGATGCTTTCAGAAACCACAACCTAGTCACTTGATATACTAAATGCAAAATAATATTGGTCACACAGCATCCTGATAGATTTTTGCTACAATAAATTACTCATATCCTATCTGATAAAATTTACTAGTGTATAAAAAAACACAAGAAATATAATTTCACAAATGATAACAGTGTAACACAGCAAAATTCTGACCATCAGAAACCTTCAGAATAAGTAGCCCAGTTTTTTTTTTCAAGAAAAAAAATTGTGAAAAATGAGAGATTTGAGAGACTGGACTACAATATGTGGACTGTGTTCTATTTAGATAGTAGTTTATATACTTGTAATTACTCAACTTTGTAAAATATGTCTATGATTTACTCCAAAATCTGTGCATGGAGGATAAAGTTTCAATAAAACAATATTGTCTACAAATAGTTCTTTAGCTTTGCAGAGATGCCCATTGAAAGTGTCCCCAGCACTATGTATTCCACAGGTATCACTGGCTAGAATGTCATTTCCTCCCAAAGGCTTTTTCTGTATTCGGTGATTTCCTCCTCAGGTTATTCTCTGCTCCCTGGGCTCATGAGCCACTGACCAGCTATCTGCAATTTTCAATTCATTTACATCTATGTCTTGTGTCCTTTATTTTTGTGAACCTGGCACCTATGATACTGCCTAGCAATGGTTGGTTCTCTAATGCCTTAAGAATAAACTTTGTAGCAAGCTCTTTAATGTCTTACCCTACCTTTTATGGTATGCCTTCTATTTCCCTTTTCTTTCAACTATACACGTTAGCCAAAGTGACATGTTTTCTAGAAGCTTCTTATAATTGCCATTGTCTCAAATCATCACCTCATTACCTCCTCAACCTTTCCTTTCTGCACACTTCCAAGCTGCAAGTGTCAGCTCAGGATG